GCGCTTTCATGCAATTTATTTCTTTGCCACGCCCCATAGAGGGTCTGACTCGGCTAAGTTACTTGAGAATATCCTAAAGATAACGTATTCCTCTCGTGCATACGTCTCTGACCTCAAGCGCGGATCCAGTACGATACAATCTATCAACGATCAATTCCGGAATTATTCCGGCAAGATGGAACTATGGTCATTCTATGAGACATACAAACTTACCGTTGGACTGTTCAGCATACTCATCGTGGACCCAGATTCAGCCACTCTCGGATATCGCGAGGAGCAACAGATCCCTTTGGGAGCCGATCATCGCTCAATCTGCAAGTTCGATGCGGTCACAGATCCTAACTATGTCACCATTCGGAATGCCTTAGCATTGACCGTGAGCCGAATATCGCATTCGGGTAAGTCCCCATATCGACGCCACAGGTGACACTGATATGGACAAGTTTCTTACTCAAGACAAGTGGCCACGTCGAAAACACAGCAAGTGAGAATCCAGTTACAGCAGCTGGAGACGTATCTAGGCGTTCATGCAAACATTGAGGATGACCTTATCCTTCTCGAAGACGCTCGTATGAAAGGTACTTGTGAGTGGTTTGGATCCAAGTCGAGTTTCCTTACCTGGAAAAGCTTTGAAAACAGCAGTCCAAGCGTCTTCTGGGTCAACGGACAACCAGCCACTGGAAAGTCGGTGCTTGCTGGATACGTTGTCAGTCAGCTTCAAGAGACCAGGGCTGGTTGTAGTTTCTATTTCTTTAGATATGGTGATAAGTCGAAAAGTGGACTTAGTGGATGTCTGCGTTCCTTGGCTCTCCAGATGGCTTGCACAAATGCCGAGATTAGGAAAACACTTCTTGAGATGCAAAGCCAGGGAGTCAGAATTGATAGTGAGGACGAGCGGGTTCTATGGAGAAGGCTATTTCAAGCCGGCATTCTTCGGGCTGTCCCTGAAGGTCATTATTGGGTGATTGATGGACTTGATGAATGTGCCTCCTTCTCTTTATTTTTCGACGTCATGCTTTCCAATCTCGACGAATCGACTCGGCTACGGATTCTAGTGACTAGTAGGGCGACACCGGAGATATGCCGATACTTTTCATCGCTTGAAGCGCCTAGGGTTATGTCCGAGCAAGTCGCCGTTTCTGACACTCTCCAGGATATAAAGCAGCTCGTCGAGGCCGGAACAGGGTCTTTGGCGGTAGGTGGAGACGAAGACCGTAATAACTTAGTGTCCAAGATTTTGGATAAGTCCCAAGGGTCATTTCTGTGGACTGTCTTGGTACTTAAAGAACTGACAAATTCGCACAGTGAGCAGGAGATAAGCCAGGCTCTTCAGGATATGCCTCGGGATATGGCACAGCTCTATATGAGATCGCTCGAGTCAATGTCGCAAGCTTCACAGGGAAAGACATTAAGCAAGGCTGTTCTTATCTGGACTACATGCGCAACGAGGCCACTCAAAATCACTGAGCTTGAAGTCGCCTTGAGGCTGGACGTCAACGATCATTTCCCAAAGTTAGAGGAAAGTGTATTATCACTCTGTGGCCAGTTTGTGACAATTGACAAACTTGGCAAGGTTCAGATGGCTCATGAGACGGCGAGGGAGTTTCTTCTCAACGCCAACCTCAAGTCTGAGTATGCTATCAGGAAGGAAGAAGCACATACTCGCATTGCTCGAACTTGCCTTATGTACCTCACAGGCGACGAGATGAAGCCCCCTCGGACGGGTAGACGAGGTGCTGCCGCCTTCTCTTCAAGAAAGAGGTCGAATTTCTGCGCCTATGCCTGTTCAGAGTTCTCGTTCCACCTGTCAAAGTCAAGTCCACTTGCAACTGATGTCTTCCACCTACTTGTAAAGTTTCTAAGGGCGAATGTCCTGTCATGGATAGAGGTGGTTGCGCAGACCAAGGATCTTAATATTATCATCCGCGCCGCCAAACATCTCAGAAATTACCTCAAAACCTGCATGGAACATCTCCCGCCTGTTGGTGGTGACATGCCTGTTATCAGAGGCTGGACAACGGATCTGGTACGCGTTGCTGCCAAATTTTCTGACGCTCTACTGATTTCGCCCGCGGCCATTTACTCTCTCATTATACCTTTCTGCCCTCAGGAATCCATAATTTATAATGCTGGCAAGACTGTGAAAAGGCTTTCCGTGATGGGCCTTTCCCAGAACCAGTGGGATGATCGACTGGCATGTATTGAGTTCAGTCAGAGTCAAACAACGGCCATCTGCTACGGCGAGATGATTTTTGCAGTTGGTTTGAGTTCCGGAAAGGTCGCGCTGTACGATGCTACGTCGTGTCAAGAGTTTACAACACTGGAGCATGGAGAAAGAGTGATGCATTTGCAATTGTCTAGCAGACGTGGGCTGATTGCTGCATGCGGAATGAAGACAATCAACACATGGGAGATTCTTAGTGGCCGGTTGGTTTCCACTTATCCGGCCCCATCCCGGCCACTAGAGATGATAGTTTATGATGATCGACTTATAGTTGCGTCGGCCAAAAATTACTTGGCTTCGTGGGGACTCGACGGCGGCGGAATTCAATATCCCCATCGGCCATGGAACGATTCTGACAATATGAATGTTCAGACACATCGAGTTCCTTCTGCCGTATCAATATCAGTCGGTCACCAAATGATGGCAGTTACCTACAGCCGACGGCCCATCATCCTCTGGGACCTCCAGGAGGACGCCTATTATGGGAGCTGCGGGAAGAAACTCGCCAATGGTGAAACAAGTAGATACATGGTCACTGCATTGGTTTTCAATCCCAACCCTTCGATCGAACGCCTTGTGGTAGCCTATCTCAATGGAGAGCTTGCCCTCGTCGATCCATTCCAGGATGAGGTTCTGGTGAGCTTCCGGGCCAATTGTCAAACCCTAGCAGCTAGTCCTGATGGGCGTCTGCTAGCGGGAGGTGTCGGATCTGGAATAATCCAAATATATGACTTCGAGACATTGACGCTTCTTTACCGCGTTGAGTCCACGAAAGTTTACATCAAACAATTGGCATTTAGCCCGGATAGCCTGCGATTGGCCGACATCAGGGGTAGGGAATGTAACATCTGGGAACCTGCTATTCTTCTTGGTGACTCAGGCGGAGACGACAGCAGCCAGGCTACGTCAAATACTGTGTTCGAGACAGTGGCCACAGAGACAAGAGTCAAAATTACTGCACTTATTGTGGACGTCCAGGAAGATGCCGTATTCTGCAGCAAGAGCGATGGATCAGTATGTCTCTACAATATACGATCAGGCAACGAGATACGCACACTCTATCATCATAAGATCAGTGTTCACGCACTCAGCTGGCTACCCAAGGCCAAACTCCTGCTGAGCATCGACGTGTCGAACAGAATATTAGGGTGGAGACTCAAGAAATCACCGACAGAAGGTTGGCTGCCAGAAGAAATGCTCTTCCAATCACGCCTCGACTGCGGACATGCGATTACCCAAGCACTGCCTAGTGATGTCGCAGGAAAGTTCATATTGTCCACTCGAGAAGCAGATCATTTGTGGAGTATCAGCGGTCACGAACTAGACATGCGAAGTTATTCGTCGAAACCCGGCATCCGCAAGTGGCTGCAACATCATGATTCGGAAGAACATGTGATATGCTTTGAAGGCGCGACCGCCCGTATCTATAGTTGGAGTGACTGGACGGAAGTAGCAACAGTCGAGGTCCATATTGATTTAGGTGGTCTACAGATCAAAAATGCCTTGCCTTGCACATCCGCTAGGAAACAACGCATACTTCTCGAGTTATCGGAGTTAGATGGCCCAGCTAAGACATGCAGGCTCTACCTGCTCGATGCGAAGGCATTTACTGTTTACAACGAAGGAGATAAGCCAGATAGTCCCAGCGCGATATGCGCAGGTCAGAAAGATACGCAACTGGGGAACAAGCTATTTCATGTCGACAGGACATCGAATCAATGTCTTATCAACCGATCAGCCACCATGAGCCGGTATACCACACATTGCATCGGTGCTACCGCGGCCAGCAAGATTGTCTTTCTGGATACCCACTCCTGGGTCTGTACTGCTGATCTGGACACACCGGAGGATAGCAAAGAGCTATACGTTCGCCATTTCTTTGTGCCATATGATTGGTTTTCGGGATCAAGGCACATAATATCGACCGTTGTTAGTCGAGATGTCTTGATTACACGCAAGTCAGACCTCGCTGTTATCAAAGGAGGATTGGAATACACGCTGCCGGTGGAGTCCCCGGGGGCTGTAATTGAAGGTTGACTTGGCACTTGGAAGCTATAAGTGTTACCTCTTTAATCCACAACGTGGTTTTTAGATTCTTGGGAGCGGGTTATTTTGTAGTGTCATCTCAAATGCCAATATAATGACACTTCGTCTAGAAACCAATCTATGGAGCACCAAGACTGGTTGAAACCAACCGTCTTCCAAAGCCCTCAATAAATTGGGAGCCAACGTTTCCAGGCCAAATGAAGCCCTTAGATTACGCGTCGCTCCGACGGATATCAAGAAAAGCACGCGCAGAACATGCCATCGCAGGTGCGGTATCTGGGAGTAACCTAGTTGAAACGCAAACTCATACCCATCGCGGATAACATTCGATCTTTGCCTCCGACCTCCGAGCCCCGACCTGCGGAGCATTGCTTAAGCGGGACCAATAACGGACCGCGGATCGAGTATCCGTACCTTATTTCCGCAGGGCAGGCGTTGTACCACGGTTCCAAATCAATCTATTTCGCGTCATCCTGTCCGAGGGGATCGCCGAAGAGCCGGGTATGGTAATGATCCTCACACTGATGGGAGATCAGGCCGCGTATCCCTCGGTGCAACTATCCGTGAAGATGCATGATTCCCGTCGGAGCACCGTTAAGAGGTCTGCTCGCCGACCTCCGAAGGCATTGCAGCATTTACTTAAACGCTGCCTCTATCCCCAAGCAATCTGAATTATCGTTTTACCATCATCCTAGATCATTTCATTGACCCTATTAGCATTCAAGACACAATGAATCAGTCTCGTCGTTTGAGGCTCGCTCTCGCCACACTCATCCCTTTCCTAATCGGGGCTAATGCCGCGCTATATGACACCGTTGTAAAAACGCAGTATGGTGGCGTTCAAGGCTACCCGGCCTTCACCAGCGAGCCCGTCGGCAACCTGACCCATTGGAAGGACATCACCGTGTGGAAGAACATCCCCTTTGCCGCCACCACCGGGGGTCAGAATCGTTGGAAGGCACCCCAGCCGGCAAGCCCATGGAACGGCACCCTTGATGCGAAGTCTTATGGAAATGTTTGCCCGTCAGCCACTGAGGGCAGCTCTGAGTATACCATCGACGAGGACTGCTTGAATCTCAACATCTGGAGTCCCGCCAACTCCACGGACGCAAAGCTCCCGGTTGTGATGTGGAGCTACCCCGCCCTATCGACGGCTGCTGATGCCCTGTTTGACGGGGGTGGCATGGCAGACCAGGGTATTGTCTACGTGAATTATAACTACCGTACTGGCTCATTCGGTTAGCTTGCACACCCGGAGCTGTCGGAGGAGTTCTATAAGGTGACGGGATCCAACAGCTCCGGCAACTGGGGCATGCTCGACCAATTTGCAGCGCTCAAATGGATCCACGAGAACATCGCCGCGTTTGGCGGTGATCCTGAGCATATCACGGTCATGGGCCAGTCCGCTGGGTCAGCTGCTACCCAGCACATCCTCAACAGCCCATTGACCAAGGGCATGATTGTCGGCGCCATCATTGAAAGCGGAGTTCGGGATCCGCACGACCCCCTCTGCACCAGTCTGGCAGAAGGTTACAGCACATTGGAGGATCAGCTGGCCCAGGGTGAACGCTTTATGGCCAGCGTGAACTGCAGCTCCATCGCCGAGATGCGCGAATTGCCGATGGAGGATCTCGTCGTGTCGGGCGGAACATTTGGCAGCAGCAGCGAATGGAGCTTTGGCGCCACTTTGGACTACTATGCCATGCCGGACACCTACTACACACTTATCAAGGGTCTGGCGCAGGATGTGCCCATCATTACAGGTAATACTAAGGATGAAAGCGGGGCTAGCTATGGCCTGAACCTCACGGTATCTGAGTACCTGGCAGACATGAATGAGACGTCCAGCGAGCCATGGCTCTCCCGCTTCCTGGAGCAGTACCCCGGAAACACAACGCGAACAGCCCCGGGAGCCTACAACTCTCAGTGGACCGACCGGTCCAAGGTGGGCACTTGGCTGTGGGCGCAACTCTGGGCGACCGCGAGGACTAGTCCTGTATATACCTACTTCTGGGACCACGCTCCGCCGGGCCAGGACCAGGGAGCGTACCACGAATCTGAGATCAACTACGTTCTAAACAATCTGTACGGCACGGACAAGCCGTGGACGCCTGCAGGCTATTCTATTGCACGGAAAATGAATGGATACTGGGCCAACTTTATCAAGACAGGCAATCCCAATGGAGGATTCCTGGCCCAGTGGCCAGCCACGGGAGAGAACGCGACAGTGCAGCATGTGGGCGATGGATGGGGTGGAATTCCGACCGCATCAGATGCCAAGGTTAAGCTGTTTGAGGATTGGTTTGAGACACTGAAGACATACTGAGGGCGCATCAACATCTACTTGTATATAGCCGTCTGTAATTAGCCACACTTCATGTACATCGTCTGTATGATAGCAACAAATGCAAATTGCCTGATATGCTTCCCCGCATTCGTGGAGCCGGTCGATCATTGTAGATTACCCATTTAGCCGGTCCCATGCGTATATCTACTTCTCCTCAGCTGCTCGGACTATCCTAGAACAAAGGTAGATTATTAAAAATATCACTTCAATTGAGTACCATCAATACAATCATGGCCCATCACAATCATCATAACTTCCCCCTCTATCTCGTGATCCTCCTCTCCCTAGCCCTACCCATTCTATCCACCCCCCTTCCCTCCTCCCAGTCAGAATCCCAATCCCAATCCCACTGGGTTGACATTTGGACCACAATGCCCCAACTCACCGAACCAGCCAACCTCCCCCCAGCCCCATTTGTGCGTCCCCCACCCCCATACCTCATCATGTATACACCACTAACCCAACCCCGTTCCTTAACCAAAAAAGAATTCCACCCCCTCGATCTTCCCCAACACGACCCTCCGCCACACCCTCCGCCTCACCCAACCCGCCCAAACCATCCGTCTCCGTCTCTCCAACGCCTTTGGCAGTACCGACCTCCCCATCACCTCTGTAGCCATCTCCGTCCCAGCCAACAACACCCTCGGCAGCGCATCCATCATCCCGGGTACCACAACCCCTTTAACCTTCGACGGAGACGCCTCGATCCTCGTTCCAGTAGGGAGTCTCATCGTCTCAGACCCAATCACCCTCCCGAAACAAGCGGGTACGACACTAACAGTGGACTTGTACCTGGAGAGCGGGCAGAACGGGACAGATATCACGTCGCATCCGGGAAGTCGGACGACGTCGTGGATGGGGTTTGGGGATTTAGTTGGTGTTAATGAGGTAGTTGGGGGGGATGTGGTGGGAGTGGAGCATTGGTATATTCATCAACTTTCTCTTCATTCATGCAACTATGTCACACCGTCTCAGTCGGATAAAGTATACTAATAAAATTGAGGGAGAAAGGTACTTCATCTCCACCATCGAAGCCCTCCTCCCAGATACCTACCACGGGTGCGCAATCCTCGGCGACAGCATAACAGACGGACGAGGGAGCGATACGAATGAGAATAATCGGTAATCCTACCTCCCTTTGCACCCTTAACCATGTAAACACATCTGACAAGATGATTATGCTACGCACAGCTGGCCCGACCTCCTCCTCCCATACCTCCACACCCCCAACTCACCAACAACCACCCTCTCCCTCCTCAACCAAGCCGCCGGCGGCAACCGAATCCTCCACGACTCCCTCGGCCCAAACACCCTCTCGCGCATCGACCGCGACGTGCTCGCACACTCCCACATAACGCACACGATCGTCTTCGAAGGCGTCAACGACATCGGCACAGCATCTACCTCCCGCACCACCCAGCAAATAGTAGGCGATAGAATCATCATGTCCTACAAACAGATCGTCACGAGGCTGCATGCAGCAGGGATAAAGGTGATCGGCGCGACGATCACGCCGTTCGGGACACCGGCGAATTCGTCCGTCGTGCAGCCGTACTCGGATCCGGAACGGGAGAAGACGAGACAGAGGGTCAATGGGTGGATACGGGAGTCGGGGGTGTTTGATGGGGTGGTTGATTTTGATCGGGCGGTTAGGAGAGATGATGGGGCTGGGAGGGATTTGTTGAAGGAGGAATTTGATAGTGGGGATCATTTGCATTTGAATCCCAGGGGGTATGAGGCGATGGCTAGGGCTTTTCCTGTGGAGTTATTGGATTAAGCTGGGTAGGTGGAATAGTTATTTTATTATGTCAATTGGCTGACTGATTCAGCTACTACTAACTATCCAGCTAGCTAGATATTAAATTAAGTTCGTTCACATACTCATGCTCATTTTGCATCATACTCATACAAGATCTTCCTTCTCCCTAAAAGAGATGGTTTAGTATCCCCGCAGACTGCGACGACGGGGCACACTACGCTTGAGGGAGACACCAGCCTCAGCGGCATCAGCGTAGGGACCAAAGTCCGGGGATCCACCGAGGGTACCGAAGATATCACCGATGTAGTTGCTGGGGGTGATACCGGCAGCGAAAGTGGCGTTCCACTGGCTAATGATACCCTCGATGATCTTGACACCGGCGTTGTAGATGTTCTGGACAGAGGGCTCGTAGGCACCAGTAGAAGCGTAGAGGAGGTTCTCGCGGGCCGACTCGCCAGGGTAGGGGCGGTCGAAGTCCGAGGCGGTACGCATGACGATGATACGAGAGAAGTCGACGAGCTTAGCCTTAGCAGCACGGACCATGGCCTCGAGGGTGGCGTTGTCCTCCTGGGCGGAGGCGCAGTAAGTACCGGTACCGTTGGTCAGGACCTTGGTAGTGTTGGCGAAGGTATCGCCGAGGATGTTACCGGAGTAGTAGACGTCGCTGGTAGCGACATCGCACTGGACGACGGAGGGGGCAGAGGCACCGGCGGCGTAGATGCCGTCGGAGGTGTTGTAGTTAGCGCGGTAGGCCTTAGCGGCGTCGGAGTCAGCGAGGGTGGCCTTGCTGGCGAAAGCGGCGGCGATCTGGCGCAGGTTGTCGTTGACTTCAAAGACCTCGGTGCCGTAGATGCTGCCGGGGTATTGCCAGGGGTAGTAGGCGCCCTGGGGGAAGTAGCCGGTGGTGGCGTTGGCGGGCATTTCACGGATGTCGATCTCATACTGCAGAGCGACTTGGACGGCGTAGCGGGCCAGAGTCACACCGCAGATGGTGGCCTGCTCGGGGTTGACGCCGGCGATACCGGCGATCAGGAAGTAGGTGTTGGTCAGGTCGAAGGTGGGGTTGAAGATGATGGAGGAGACGGTCACGGCCGCGTTGATCTCGGCTTCACCGGTGACCAGCTGGCAGATGTTGTGGTCGGCCGTGCAGTGCACGTCCGGGAAGAGGGGAGAGGCTCCCGGGATGGTGATGTTGTGCTCCAGCACGTTGAACTCGGGGATACCCCACCAGATGGCGGCTTCGGGTTCGAACTGGGTGGTTTGTTAGTATATGGCAGCATTCATGGTGGAGTTGGGTTAAGGTGATAGATGAGGGTGGGCTACCATGGACACAATGAAGACCTTGGGAGCGATCTTGTCAGTGGACTGGCGCGCGGCGATGTTCTTGGCCGCGGGGACGGAGCGAGCCGCAGCAAGGGAGGACAGGCAGCTGCTGGCGAGCAGCAGGCCCGTGGAAACGGATTGAAGGAGCTGCATGGTGTGTGCGATGGTGGTGGAGTGCACTTTTTTGGCTGCAATGGCTGGATGGTGAAAGCGATGTTGGGGAAGACCAGCTTTATAGCTTGCGATTGAGGTCTTTCTGTTCTGGTCATCAACGGCGTAGCTATCGGGATTTGGCCATTGGGTGGTTTAGTCGACCCACCGTCGCGTGCTAAATGCCCACATTCTTGAAAAACTCTGCCAGGGAGACGGGCTGATTAGGAAGGATTTGCATTGAGAGCGGAGAGGGTAGCATTGGTGCCTGCCAGAAAGCCAATGATCGGCAATCCATTCCGTACGAACCGAGCCGGTTGCTGCGGTGCATTTAGTTGCGGTTACTTAATTAGTGCTGTTCTCCACCCAGCTGAAGAATGGGACGCGATTGAGTAGCTGGGTTTGCCGCGGACGTTTTCCATTTTTCTTCTAGCTGTCAATGGATACAGAGATCATCGGTAGACTGAGGTATGGCATACAGCAGACAGATGCCATCATTTCCTGTTCCTGAAAGTTGTTCCCACAACACGAGAGGATATTCCCTGTGGCACCACGGGACGGAGCCAAGAACTAACGCAGGAACAAAACAACAACCCAAAAGGCAAAACATGGGAAAGATAGCAGAGAGATAAGCGGGGAGCCGGCCGATAACCATCGCAATATCGCGCAATTTAATTAACTTAGATTGCCTTATCGCTCACCGGCCTATCAACGGCGCCACTAGTGCCGGAGTGGAGGGATTCCACCGGATTTCTCCTCTTCATCGTGCTTCCCGATGCTTCCATTGCTGCACCTAGGCGATTGATCCAAATCCCTATGCAGATATGGTGACATCGTGCGTGGCCTCAGCCGTAGCTGAATTTATATAGTACATAAATAGCTGAGGTTCAGATCCCGATGAAGAGAGTTGTGAAGGTGTTAGGGCTGCAATGGAAGGAAGATGAGGGCACGAGGCAGGGCACGTGCGGGGCTGCGCCCAGCTGAAGAACTTTCCGATCACCACCACGGCACTCTCCACCTCGTTGCATTCAGATCCCGTAGGGCGTACTGATTAGATGGATGAGTTACTCATGAGGAAGATATTATAGCCGGGTGTTAATCTGCATTATTTGCACGTTATCTTATTCCTTGGCAGTAGTACTATCGCCATTGCTAGTGGTGCTAGCAGGAGTATCCCGTAGAAATATATATCTTGGACAGTACAGGTAGATGATAGGAGATCTCCGGGAGGGTACTAGCAACATCAGTCCAGGTAAACATAGAAGATACCACTCGTATTTAGCTCCTAATCTAGTGTACGCCTAGTACACTTCCAAGGAGCTATTACTGTCGTCTAGTCTTGAATGACATCTTCATCGATCCAATTAAGCATTTGTTCAATTCTATCCGAAACTCTACTTCCAGCATCACCATTCCGACAAAACATCATGAATGTCACTTGTAACCTGTACTATCAATATATCGACATCGTAGATTACTATGGTGGGAGACGAAATGCCAGTGAGCTACGTTCAGAATGGCATCTTGCGTTGGTAATTGCTTGTTGCCGCGGCCATGAACATTTCGCTCCTTCCTGGTCGCAACGTCATGTCCGCCGGACTACTACGACATTCCCGCTCGGACTCTCATGCCAGGTCTCCCATACTTGAATATAGCTGGATCGCGGGGCAGAGACTGCAAGCATCTTCGTTGATAAAATAAGAACAGTCACATCCCTTGACATGACAGTCAATCCATATTGTACCTCAATTGCAAGAGGAATGTCAGTCTCTAGGGCCTACTGAACAATCCCCACATCGGATTCGCCGACTATAGGAATCTCCTGGGCTTCATTGATCCAATCATCGCCAATACACCCGTGGTTTCCCCAGACGAGGCTTCTCGTTTGTCGATTTTCATTCCATTCCTTTCCTATCATGCCACTCGGGTGAATATTCCGAACATATGCTGATCACCACCCAATTAAATAAGCAATCCAGCCGAGCATTTCTGGAATCCAATTGTCAGCCAGTTGGCGTCTGTCACGAAGCCTACAGATTGTTGGTATATTATCACGTGATCGAAACACGCCGACCATCCGCGGACTCGAACAGGAATGCATCATCCCTTGCCAACTTGTGACCGTGATGCCATTTTGGTAACTCTCGGGGTCCAATCGTCTGATCCATCACTCCGACAGAGGTGGTTCCACCGGCAGCTCACGGATTCTAGAAGACGGAGGATCTTCTAGGGATCCCAACGATCGCTGCGAGTTTATTGAAGTTAGAGCTGGCCCCAAACTCAGTTTTCGAAACTGACTCGCCGGGATCGCTCCACATGGCAAGGGTGTGATGAGTGCTGTCTTAGACAGTTGCGGTCGAGTGGAGGTTATTCCTGACCGGACTCCATCCCCTTCCTCCATACAGGTCCGACGCGAAGCCACGCTGACGTGGACGGCAGGGGATCTCACATTGCGCGGTCAGATGTCCGACGATATCCTCCACCAACAACGGCCTTGGTGGAGATGCTGCACTGCTGCTACAAATACATTGGCCTCCCTTGCCGTGGCTGCCTTGGCCGATCCAAAGCAATGTCAGATGCTTGGCGGCAGCAGACCTCAACGGCCTCGTACGACCTCGGAGCGGAGTGGCAGGTCACGGGTTGATCCATGGAGCAGCTGGGATGCTGTCGGGCTGCCGAGAAACGATCGGAACGTTATTGAGCGATGATGCTCCCGGGTGTGAGAGGAGATGCGATGGTCATCAGGCAGAGCCGCAGGTGTCCTCTTATTCGGACAATTTCATTCATCCCGGACCAGCTCTAAGACACAAAGGGATTATATACCCCAGCTGAGGCGTGTCACCGTGTGAGTTGACAGGAAATCCGCGTAACGGGTCAACGTCAGCTTTGATGACTTCGTCACACCGATTGTTCTTGTCCGTGAGAGGATGGCATGAAAGAGCCGCTCCATGCGATCACATTCCACCGCTGAAGATTTCGCTGGACGCGAGGCCTGAGTGCAGCATCTCCGCAAGTGGACAAAGGATCCTCTCTAAATGGGAAATGCAGCGATGGGCAGCAGCTGCACCGGAGGAGTCAGATGCAGCAGAGAAAGCCGCGTCATCGTCAGCTGCAAGATGCTCCCGTGCGCCTGCCGATCGCGGGAAATGAGTCCGCATCTGCTGTGTCCATGACCTTATTCCTAAAGGGAATAATCAGGCCAGACGTAGGGATAGAGCATTGGGGGGAGGGGGGAAAGGGAAGAAGAGAGTCAACTGGCCGATGTCATCGGGAAACGACGTCATCCACGTGGGGTTGGACCGTGACGTCACCTGCCCGTCTCCCTCCAACTTGTTAGTTGTTATACTCTTTCCTTTTTATCTTTCTATCTTCCCCTTTCTTCTGCTGGCATTGCATCGCATCGCGTCGCATCCTGGACCCTGCATCGCCGGTTTGTTCTGCCACCCGTTAGGATACCCCCTAGACGAAATACCCCCGACCGGCTCACTCAGGTGAGCCTACATGACAACCGCTATCAGCTAGATATCCACAACTAATCCCTCAGTAGCCACCCACGAAAGTCTAATCAGGAACCACAAAGTCAGATCCAAAGAAACAACACCAGCTCAGCTCCGAATCACCGAAAATGGTCGGCTCCATCCACGAACGCATCCGCGAAGACCTTATCGGCAAGGAGCGTCGTCTCTGGACGGCGCTCACCTCTGCTGACCCGGGGCCCGAAATCAAGAAGATGTGTAACGAAGAAGCCAACCTACTGTTTCCACAGCGCGAGGTTCTGCACCTGCATTCGAAGCCGTCAATCAGCGAGGCGCTGAAGCCACCCTTCCATCACTTCGACGAGTACGAACTGCAGGAGGTGCGCGTGATCGTCATCGACCTGATGGCCGGGTCAGTAACATACAAGATCAATGCGCGCCGCGGAGAAGAGACATACCGGGGCACTGGGTCGACGACATGGAGCCAGGGGAGTGATGGAGAGTGGCGGATTGTGGTGCATCAGGAGACATTAATGTGATGAGATGAGATCCATTGGGATCCAGATGCAGGGGGCGATATGAGAAGTGGCAGTGACAGTAGGGGATGGATGGAATGAACGAATCATGATTTGTTTTGATGCAGTCTGCTGATGAATATTCTTTTTCTTGTTACATTATTTTATTGATTTTTTTTCGTTGGACCCTGCGTTTCCATTAAGGGGTTGAATATCCCTTTGTATTGATTGTGATTGCGTGGATGTGTAAATATGGCTGGCTGACATCAGACGGACGACGGAGTTTGAATCAGACAAGACTCTGACATTATTTTCCACGCAGATCATCATCATCCACTCATCAATAGCATAACACAACATAACATAGTTCCCATTATCATACGATAGTACTTCATTCCCTCGTTACCCAAAGAAAGCAACCACAACAAAACATAAGACAACTCGACAAAAGCAAATAGAACCAAAAGAAGAAAAGAAATACAAGAAGATCGACAGAGTTGACAACCATAAGGCTACCCAACCCACCCCAGTGGGACCAATAGTAACTGCATCATTATTGGCCCTAGTTTCATCGCGGTAACAGCAAGAGTGGAGCTTAGCAGCATGTTTTCTTCTGTAGGGCGAGGGTGGCAGTGTGCAGATTGCAGCTGAGCACGCACCAATTTTTTTGCACTGCACGGCGACTCCGTGTTTTATGCATGCAGTAGCTAGCCAGCTAGTTAGCTACTTAGTAGTTAGTTAGATGGTTAATCATTCTTTTGCTTTCTTATTCTTGCTTATTACTACTAATACTACTGGAATAAGAAACCTGAGACCACTTACCATCTTTGGTAAGGATCTGTCGATCAGCATGTGTTCTGTCAGGGTCTAGAATGCTTCCCTTCTTATGCTGCTTTGCTCACTGAGAATGCAATTGTTAAATCCATTAAGGTTTGCAGAGTGAAACACACCACGTACTAAATACTACTTAAGATCTGATCTGACGTGAGGAGTAACTAAGTAAGCATAAGGCAACCAAATTATATTATATTACATTATATTCTTAACTAATTTCATTATGATTGATTAGGTCAGATGGAGTACAGTAAGAAAGTAGCGAGCTACTCTATCGGTCAAGAACATATTACCTGTCAAGTAAGTGAAAATCTAACCACTCAATTTCCATTTCCCTTCTTGGTAATGTAGTATATAATAGTATATGTACCACGCAAGCTGCGATATGTATAGTAGGAAATAAATGTCGGTTTCCCCACTTTGGAAAATTCAATAAACAACACAGCCCCCTTTCTTTCTTCCTTTCCTTGCACTTTGATCCCGAAAATAATTTCCATCACATCCCATCCCATCCAATGTAATCCAACAACAACACTTTCTCTTTCTCACAAAATTAGATACCAGAAGGGAAATCGAACAAAACCAGATATAGTAAACGAACAAAACAAGGGAATTTGTGAACAATCAAAAAGAAATAGGAAAAAGAAAAAAAAAATTAAACACCATTAGCAAACCCATCACCACCAGCCTCAGTATCAACCCTCACCGAATCCATCAACCCACAAACCTCGAACAACTTCTTCGGCCCCATGCCCTCCGGCAACCCAACGACACCATCCTTCTTCAGCCTCTCCAGAGCAGCGGTAATGCCCATGTAGGCCGGGGTAATGCAAGCGAATGAGAAGATCATGATACGGAAGCCCATTTCCTTAGCCTCATCAACGGAAATAACCGGCCCAGCCCCGTTCTCCACCATGTTGAGCAGAAGCGGCCAAGGCGCAAGGTCCTGCACACACCGCCTCGCCATCTCCTTGCTGGTGAAGCCCTCAAGGAGACCAACATCGGCGCCAAGATCGCGGGCGGCCTTAAGGCGACGAATGCACTCGTCGTAGCCGTGCTGCTGGAGGGCGTCAGTGCGGGCAATCAGCACGATGTCGCTGCGGAGGCGGTCCTTGGTGAGCTTGGCGGCGCGGAGACGAGTCAGGTATTCTTCCATGCTGACGACGCGCTTGCCTGCCAAGTGACCGCATCGCTTGTTTTGGATCTGGTCTTCAATGTGGAATCCCGCAACGCCGGCTTGAATGTATTGTTGTACGGAACGAGCGACCATTAGGGGGCCTATATTGTTTTTGTTTTTGGTGGTTAGTGGGGAAACTGGGTCTTATATTGCCGTTTTGCTTTTGGGAGCGGGTAGATCATTTTGTCTTGGCGGAGGGTGGAAGTTTAGGGGATTATGGGGATCTTGCTCACCTCCATAGCCAGTGTCCATGTCAGCGATCAGGGGAGGACCGTAGGGGTCCAGGTTCGCGATCATCTCCGCGTTGGTCTTCATGTCGTAGATGTGGGCTAGACCCAGATCGGCCATACCCAGTCTAGACGCGGTAGTGCCGGCGCCGGTCTAAAAACCCTTCCGTTAGTATGATCTTTGTTTGTCGGAAGCGGAGAAGTGTGTGTTGATTGATTGTGGGGAAGAAGGGAGTGAGAGTAGTTAGGATGGACATACCATGTACATGCCCTTGAAGCCCATGTTGATGGCAATGCGGGCGGACAGACCGTCGTAGACACCAGGGCACACGATCAACTCATCGGACTCGCGAAGCTGCTTGCGCAGCTTGCTAGCACCAGTGACCATGTTCAAGTTGACCACGGGCTCTTGACGGGCACCGTTGATCTCATAGATACCGTCCTGCTCAACGGTGATGGTGATAGTGTTGGTCATGCTGATGGTGGAAGCAGAATCGGGGGTATCAACTTTCATTGCGAGGGGAAAAAACCACAAGGTATATATAGGCGGGAACAAGGAGAGTTTTTATCCCTTGGAAAGTGGAGAGAGTTGAAGATAGGAGAGAAAAGAGGCTTGATGAGGATGGAGAGAAACCAAAGGAAGAGCCAGAAGGTGACCAGTTTATATAGACGTGTCGGGAGAAGATCATCCCGCCAGCAACCAATATTCATTACCTGAGAAGATCATTTTGAGAATTGTTTTTTTCCCAATACTTCTTTTCTTTCCGTCTGCAACATTCCCCTCCTGGTGGATTGCAACGCAAGCCCTTGGCCGAGAATCATCGTCAATCCACACAAATGCACGTACACCCTACTCCGGTGAACGAACCATTGCCATTCAATTTTCTTGGCCACCATCCCAGCGCCGAGAAAAGAAAATAAAATGGTCAATCGACGCCATCGGCGGACTATGATTTGTGCCTGTGACAAGTCGAAAAATGTCCGAATGCAATGCAGCAGGGGCCTAGATAAGCTCCCCCTCCTCTTTTTCTTTTTTATTAATTTAATATTACTATTGTTATATTATTCGCATTTTTGTTTTCCCGTCCCCTCTTTACCCCGTACGTAGGCTAATGACCAGTAAATCGCCAGATCCAGTAAAGGATGGGGCTGGCTGGACCGCCACCGCGAGGGGAGTTAAGAGACATACTCCGCGCGTAGTTTCAGATTTTACGCGCCGGTGATGGCAGGATTGATTGACTAGGTGATTTCCGGATTTGGTCAGGTCAGGGGAGAATGAAGGAGGGTGTGTTGAGTGAGATGAAGTCAGATAGATTTGGCCCGTACTTTAGGCCACGCCGACAGTGCATGGACAAGACGCATCGATTCAAATCGATGCGGCGGCACACGAGCACGAGTTCCTCGGTAGCCGCGGGCTCCAGTATACTGCAGTTGCTGCATGTCAGACGCTTTTGCTCATCACGCACGGGGCCCGTTGTTCTTCACCCAGCTGAAAAAGACAGTAGCCTAGCCAAGTCGCATTGGCAGAGGAGGGATGGAGGGGGAGGAAGAGTAAGTTTGGTGGCCAACTGAAAGCCAGCGAGCAATCAACCTCCGGAGTTCGCCAGCTGGGCGACAAATGGGATGGATCGGGCTTGATTGGCGCTTGGCCGAGGAGGCAGATCTGCACCGATAGACTGCCAGGGCTCGGCTGATGCGCCGGAAGTTAAACGGCATCCCACCCACGGAGTCACTGTTGAGGATTGCCGGCGGCAGGGCGGGTTCTAGCACGCCTGCTGAATGGCGGAGAAACCGGAGCGCATTGGCTCCCGGGACTTATCGCAGATGAGGTGAGAGAGGGGGTGATGGAGGTTAGTGATGATGAGATAGGCAATAGTGCATGGCTGACCAGCCGACGGAGAAGCCGATGGAGAAACCAGGACCCAGATGGACCAGATGGACCAGGGCAGCAGCTGCAGTGCGGACTCTCATCGCCGACATTAAGTGCGTCTCTGTTGCTGCATGCTGCAGAGCCAAGTATCTTGGCAACCTGGGGGGACAGATAATTAATACTGGAGGCGATAGTCTCGAGTCCAGCCCCGGTTTTGCTGGGGACTGAGTGATGGATCTGGCTGCGCGGTTGGCTCTTGCGCACGTCTAGTGATTTCTTAGGCAGTGGATGTACTCTTTTTTTCCTTCCTTGGTCATGAAAGGGTCGTGGTCACTCCGCAAGTTGCCTAGAAATGTGCTCATGGCCTAGAATGTATTTACTCTCCGGTCAGTGCGGTGATTAGGACCCCGGTGTGTAACCCATGAGTACAGAAGAGGAAAGGGAAGAGGAGAGCTGAGGAACATTTCGGACCCGGCTGGGTGGTGCCGCATGGTGAAACTGACGACGCGAGTCCGACACAGCAAGCAGTCCGACAAGTCCCCTGCCTAGCAGATCGGATGCAGTGAGGAAAAATAAACCGCCACGACTATTGGAGCTGCATATTGGAAGAGGATTAATCGATAGATAGGTAGGACCGGACTAAACCGGGAGGAGTATAGGGGGAGTGGGAGGAGAGTAAGAAGACGAACAAGGGTAAGGGAGACAGAGAGAGTGTTGAGTGAGTGAGTGAGTGAGTGTCTGTGTGGTGAGGCGCAAGTCAGCCGATTGGCGGAGAGGAGATCCAGTTTGGGAGGTTCAAGGGTAGTAAGCAGTCTGATTAGTTACTTTAGATTGGGTGAATAATGACAAGAGAAAGAGGGGGTAGACTGGACGACCAGCATAGTCCGAGAGGGAAAAGAAAAGACAGGCAATGATAGTCGTGGCTGACTTGGCTAGAGACTCTAGAGACGGCGGATAGAGAGGCTAGCTCGTCACTTCGATAGCACTAGAGTTCTCGGTCCTGTTGTTAGTTGAGTTAGGTCGAGTCTAGTGCTGTAGGGAATCAGCCCAAGCCCGACAGCGGCTCCGGATTCGCCCGGCTTGGCCCCTCTGGGCGATCGGTAGAAATTTGGGGGGATTTTAGGAGAAAGGGATAGCGGCCTGGTCTTGGAATCTTGGAACGAAAAAGAAAAAAAAGGTTTGTGAAGGTTTTGCTCTGAGGGTCTGCGGCCCACGCGGGCCCACGGTTGCGGTTGTCTTAAAGCTGGCAAGCTCTTCAATTTCCACGCGTCTGTCAGCCTGCCTTTTCCCGCTTCTTTCCTGCTCCGAGCGTGCTTATTGAGAGACGACTGGCAGACAGAGAGAGTAAGAAAGAAAGATACTTTCATGTTCCTTTTTCTGCTCCTGCTGCTGCTGTTGTTTCTGCATCTCTGCTTGGGCCCTGTCTTGCTCTGTTTCCTTCCCCCTACCCTCCAAGTGCAGCAGCCTAGATTTCAGCCATTGCAACCATGGAGGACAGTAAAGGTGCTAGCCCAATGGTTAGCTATGTTAGGGCTGAGATCAATGTCAAATATGCGGATTTGTTGTTGCTGGCCTGTTGTTTCTGTTCGGGTTTGCTGGACAGTACCATGTACAATGGTGAGTCACCTCTAACTCTCCACTCTCTTATCCCTTTCCTCCACACCTTTCTTGTCTCTACCCCATCAATCTCCATCAATCTCCATAAATCCCCATAATTCATAATAATGGAACCATACTTACACTTTCCCCCACAGCCTACAACACTTTCGTTTCCATGCAAACAGGAA